ATACTTTCATGAGTTCTAACACATGACTATTGGATATTTTTAGTCGTTTTGACCCCTTTGCAAATAATTTTGCCATGGCCAAAATTCAAAATATTATGAGTTGTTACCCAAAATTGTTAGTAATTTTTAACCATTTCGACCCATAGGCGAATAATTTCACTAAGGTAAAACTTCATGATTTTATGACCTATAACCCATAATTATTTTCTTATTATAAACCACTATTTTTTGACATTATTAATCATTTTGAATCAGTTTAAATAATTTCACGATAGCCAAAATTCATAATTTCGTGAGATATATAACCCATGATTTTTGGTTATTTTTAGTCATTTTGAAACAATGGTAAATAATTTTGTAGAGAACATACTTCATAGTTTTATGAGCTATAACCCCCAATTTTGGCCACTTTTAGTCCTCTCGATCCATTGGCAAATAAATTTGAGGAGACTAAAATTCATGATTCATGAGCCATAACCCATAATTTTTTGTTATTTCTAGTCATTTCGACCAATTAGCAAATAATTTCATGGAGGCTAAAATTCAAAAATTTTATGAGCTACAACACATGATTTTTAGACATTTCAATCAGGTTGTAAATAATTCACAGATGTCAAAATTCACGATTTCGGAAAGGTATAAGCCATGACTTTAGGCCATTTTTAGTTATTTCAATATATTAACAAATAACTTTGTAGTGGCTGAAATGAACAATTTCGTGAGCAATGATCCATAATTTTTAGCTATTTTTAATCATTTCAACCCATATGTAAATAATTTTACAGATATCAAAATTCATAATTTCATGAGCAATAACTCATGATTGTTATCCATTTTTACTCGTTTCCACCCATTGGTAAACAATGTCATGGAGTGTAAACTTTATGATTTCATGAAGTATAATCCATAATTTTTATCCATTTCTAATCATTTCGACCCACTGATAAATAATTTCGCAGTTGGCCAAAGTTAACAATTTCATCATCTATATAGCCCAAGTTTTTTTTACCATATTTAGTTATTTCAACTCGTCGTTTTCAGTCATTTCGACCTATTGGCAAATAATTTTATAGAGGCCAGAGTTCAATATTTTGTGAACTATAACCCACAATTTTTTACCAGTTTTAGTCGTTTTACTAGAAAGGAAAAGATTTCGCAGAAGTCAAAATTCACAATTTCATGAGGTATAACCAATGATTTTTGGCTATTTTCAGCCATTTCAACTCATTAATATATAATTTTACAAAAGCCAAAATACATGATTTCATGAGTTATGATCCATGATTTTTTTCCAATAATATTAGTTTTGATCTATAGGCAAATAATTTTGATGCGGCAAAAAATCATAATTTTATGAGCTATAGTCCATGCTTTTTTTACCACTACTATTTATTTCTCCCATTAGTAATTAATTTTGCAAATGCCAAAATTCACGATTTCGTGACCTTCAACCCCTGATTTTCGGTTGTTTCTAGTCGTTTCCCCGTTCCCGTTTGCATTCATTGGCAAATAATTTCATAAAGGACAAAATTCATAATTTGAAGAGCTATAACCCATGAGTTTTGGCTATTTTTATTGTTTCGATCTACTGGAAATAATTTCGTGATGGCCAAAATTCACGATTTTCTGAGCTACAACCCACAATTTTTAGTAATTTTTCGTTGTTTCGACTTGTTGGCCAAAATGATTTTATGAGTTATGACCCACGATTATTGGCCATTTGTAGTCATTTCAAACCAATGGTAAATTATTTTTCCTAATCCAAATTTCATGATTTCGTAAGCGATAATTCATGATTTTTTATATCTAGTCGTTTTAATCCATTGGCTAATAACTTTAGAGGGTAAATTTCACGATAACTTGAGCTATAACCAACAAATTTTGGCCATTTTTAATCAATTTGACCTATAGTCAAACGATTTTGTGGTGGCCAAAATTCATGATTTTGCAAGGTACAATCCGCGATTTTTAGCTATTTTTATTCGATTCAAACCATAGGCACATAATTGTGCGGAGACCAAAATTCACGATTTCATTAGTTATAATCCATGATTTTTTATTATTTTTAGTCATTTTGACCCATTAGCAAGTAATTTTGATGAGTTCAAAATTTAAGATTTCATAAGTTATAACCCATGCTTTTTGGCCATTTTTAGTCATTTTGATTAGTTGTCAAATTATTTTGAGAAGGCCAAAATTAAAGATTTTATGAGCTAAAATACAAGATTTTTGACTATTTTTAGTTATTTCAACCCATTGTTAAATAATTTCCAAGGGCCAAAAATTTACAATTTCGTGAGCGATAACCTATGATTTTGAACATTTTAGTTATTCCAACAAGTTGTCAAATAATTTTGCGGTGTAAAAAATTTACAATTTTCTGAGCTTTTTTGCCATGTTCAGTCATTTTGACTCCTTAGCAAACAATTTCGCAGATGAAAATGATTCATGATTTCATAAGAACCAACTATTATTGGCCATTTTTAGTTATTTCAAACCAGTAGTAAATAATTTTACGGAGTCTAAACTTCATGATTATTTGAGTTGTAACCCATGTTTTTTTCATTTTCATTTGCTTCAACCCATTGATAAATAATTTGACGGATTTAAAATTAAAGATTACATAAGTTATTCCTCACGATTTTTGGCCATTTTTATATGTTTCAACTCATTATCAAATATTTACCCGTGGCCAAAATTTAAGATTTCGCTAGCTTTATTCCATGATTTTGGTCATTTTTAGTAATTTTAAACTATTGCCAAATAATTTTATGGTGATCAAAATTAACAATTTTGTGAGTTATAACTCTGGATTATCGACCATCCACTGGCAAATAATTTTGTAATAGCCATAATTCACGATTTCATGAGCTATATAACCCACGATTATTGGCCTTTTTTAGTTATTTCAACCCACTAGCAAAAATTTTCGCGAGGTCAAAATTCACGATTCTATGAGGTAGAACCCGCGATTTTTGGCCATTTTTAATCATTTTAACCTATTGTCAAAACATTTCGTGGTGGCCAAAATTCACAATTTCATTAGTAACCCATGATTTTTAACCATTTTTAGTTATTTTTGACCCCATTGATAAGTATATGTCGTCGAGTCTAGAATTCAAGACTTCATGAGCTATGACCAACAATTTTTGACCATTTTGGTCATTTTGGTCCATAGTAAAATTATATTTACGAAGGCCAAAACTAAAAATTTCATGAGCTAATCTATGATTTTTGGCCATTTTTACTCATTTCAACCCATTGTCAAATTTATTTCGTTGTGGCCAAAATTTACAATTTCGTGAGCTATAACCTATGATTATTGGTCATGTTTAGTCATTTCGACCTTGTGGCAAATAATTTCGCGATAGTCAAAATTCATAACGTCATGAGCTATAACCCACATGATTTTTTGTCATTTATAGTCATTTCAACCGTTGCATTGTCAAATAATTTTGTGGTGGACAAAAGTCACGTTTTTCTAATCTATAACTCACGATTTTTTTGCCATGTTTAGTTATCTCTACTCACGGACAAACAATTTTTTGGATGGAAAATTCACAATCTTATGAGTTATAAACCATGTTTATTGGTCATTTTTAATCATTTCGAACTAATGATAAATAATATAATGAAGTTCAAACTTCATAATTTCATGAGCTATAATCCACGATATTTGACCATCTCTAGTTGTTTCGATCACATTTTTTAGTAATTTTGATGCATTGGCAAATTATTCCACAGAGGAAAAAATTCATGATTTCGTGAGATATAACACATGATTTTTGGTTTTTTTAGTTGATTTAACAAAAATGAAAAAATTTCGCAGAGATTGAAATTGACAATTCCATAAGCTATAACTCATAATTTTTTATCATTTTTAGTTATTTTGACCCATTGACAAATAATTTTGCAATAGCCAAAATTCACTATAACCCAAGATTATTGATAATTTTTGGTCATTTCAATCAATTAGTGAATAATTTTGCGGAGTTCAAAATTTATAATTTCACGAGCTATAATCCATGATTTTGGCTAGTTTTAATCATTTCAACCTATTTGTAAATAATTTCGTGGAGGCTAAATTCACGATTTCATGAGGTATAACCCATTAGTTTTTTGGGGGTATTTAGTCATCTCAACCTCTTTGCAAATTATTTTGAAGAGGCCGGTAATCATGATTTCATGAGGTATCTCATCTATATGTAGTCGTTTTGACCCGTTAGCAAACAATTTCACAGAGGCCAACATTAAATATTTCATGAGCTATTACTCACGATTTTTTTACCATAAAAAATATTTTAACCTGTTGTCACATATTTTCGCATGATCAAAATTCATGATTTTGTGAGCTATATAGCCAACAGTTTTCAGTCATTTTTAGTCGTTTTGACCCATTGTCAAATAATTTCTTGTGAACTCTAATCTATGATTATTCGCCATTTTTCTGATTTTATGGGTTTGCACAATTTACAAAATTTAACATCCTCCTACATAGGAGTTAGAGATTCTAATTTGAAATGATAATTCTGTATGTTACAGTTAGAAGATCTTCTCACATGCCATCACGCCTCGTTTGGTACCAAATAAGAAATAAAATAAAATTAATATAGAAATAAAATGCTCATTTCTATTCACATTGCACAGCAAAGAATGAAGTGGAAATGAGAGTCTTTGAAAGTTCCTTTTTTTTATTCCGATTCCCACTTAAGTGTGCTAGTCTCTTTGAAGTTCATTAAATAGGCAACATGACGATCAACATTTACAGCTCCTTCGACGTGCTCTACTTCCTAAATCCCTAACTTTCATCAAATCAAACACCATACACGTCCAACTCATTGAACCAACGGAAGCAAAAAAAGAAGGGAAAAAAAAAAAACGCAACCACGCCTCATCATGCAAATCCAACTTCATACCAATCTCTCGTGCTAGGCCTCAATCAAGGCATACTCAAGCTAAATCGTCATCAAAACTATATTTTCAATGCTAGACCAAAATCCTTCAATAAACTTCCATTATTTTGAAACCTTTCATTGAGATAATGCACCAAAAATTTCTAGGCGCCACAATTCATCAAACCTATTAACAGACGAATATTACTACTTGATATTCATCTTTTCCCATCTCTTGGCCAACAACAAAGCCACCTTCACATTGACATGCCTGTTAGCTGAGCTATTTCGTGAAAATGATGAGAAGAAATTACATGTACATATACATGATGGAGAAAGATTGCGTGTCCCTCTCCACAAGCAAAAATTCCAAGATAAATCCTATCCGCTTTTTTTGAAGCTTGTTCCACTGCAAGATCTCTTACACGAGGGAAAGGAGGGGGAAAAAAAAAAGAAAGTGGATCTCATCTCCACAAATGGATATTGACGACTGTTGGTTGCATGAAGGTCTGCTGTATAGAAAGAGCAAATGGTAAGAAAGGGTGGAAAAGGAACGATGAGATCCTCTTTGGCCTACTATCTTGACCGCCTGCTTCCCCCTCCGGTCCTGTAGTCAGAGCCGTTAACATTATGAGTTAATCTGCCATTTTGCTACTCCCAAGGTAAAGAAGAAAACCAGTGAATCTTTATTAGCAATCCATTTTCAAGTCTTTGTTTTTTCCCTTCCCTTTTTCATGCCCCACTTTGATAAGAATTGCATCAAAATTTACTAATGAACCCGTCAAGCTCAGACCCAAGACCTCGGACTAATACCTCTCTTCTTGTTTTTTTCACAAAGATAGTGCCTTACTTTTGAATCGGTGAGCTACTACTAATAGTCCCCTGTTTTAGTATTTAAGCCAGACCTCGATGACCGATTAATACTTGGGTTAAACCTTAATACCTTTCGACAAACAAGCTAATCACAATTAAAAAAAGGATGATGCTTACATAAACATGGTGGGAAGGTTATATAGAAATGATGATAGGAAAACAACTTGTCTTTGTTTTGTTTGGGTGTTCCAGTCCCTTTAAGGCTTCAACAATCATCTTCTTATTTTGTTCTTTCCTTTCACTTTTCTGTTAATGGAAAAAAATAGTTTGATCTTAGTGCTCCTTCAAGAAATTTCACCCCAGATCCCCATTTTGGCCATAGACTTCATCATTGTACCAAGCATCTGTTACGTAACCTTATCATTTTGCTACGTTATTCTAGAATTCTGTAAAAGGCTTATTCTTTGTCTAGTTGAGGGCTTAATGATGAAGCCAATAGCTAAATCTTCATAAAAGCACTAGCTTTGTTCGTGAGAAGTCCCTCTTGCATTTTCTTAAAGAACCAGAAATGAAATGAGCAAAAAGCACCCAGTTAACAGCTCAGAGTCACTCAAGGGGAAACGGCTCCATTTTAGATATTAAAAATTTCAGCTGTCCTTGGTTGCTGAATAAGGTCTAATTAATAAAATTGCCATAAGCATGTACCTGGTTTTATCTTAAACTTCACTGAGTTTGGTGGTCTCCTTGAACTGAATTTGATTGGATGCTCAGTGGCATGTCTATGTCGGTCTGTTGCTGAAATCAACTGCATCAGTGCAAAATTAACATGAGACCCCAAATTAACCTAATGATGGAAGCCATTCAATAGTTACAGAACATATACAATTTAAATCTGTCATTGACATGGAGGATGCCTACTCACATGGAAGAGAAAATGATACTACTTCACATGGTAGATCATGGTTTAGTTTATGTCAACGGATAAGCATGCGCAACATTCATGATTGATCCAAATCTGTTACTGAATATTGCCTACTTTTATCAAATAATCTAGGCTCAACCTAAGCACAGGAATTTTGTTACCAACCATTTCCCCACCACTTGGCCAATAATTTCAATTGGGGTTTTGGCTGAACATAGGCTGGGTATTTCTCAGGATGGCAATTTTCTCAGGTTGATCAATGTTTAGCATGCTTGCTGCAAGCATAATAATGAAAAGGAATGGCAGATATAATTAGTAGTTCCAATGATGTAATTTTCTCGTAAGGTGTGAAATCAGCAAGCAAATTGATCATAAATCTCATTTGTAATGGGCTACGGGCCCACTCCCTGAAATCGGTAATGTGACGAACTGTTGACTTTTGAAACCATTTCTACAGATAATGTTCTTCCCAGAGCCATACATTCCTTGCAGATTTATAAACCCAATCTCCCATTTTAGACCTCCCTCGAGATAGAATTCTGGAAAATAACTTCTAAAGAATAGGAAGCTATATCCAAAGCCCTAGCTGGAGTTAATGTATAATGTAACATTAGATATCTCAGAAAAATCAAGTATAAACAGTTTTTCTTGGCAAGTACCACATATTCTAATCACATATGGAACTCCTAAACGGTCGAAATTGAAAAACAATAAGTAGGCTTATGACATGAGGCTTGACAAGTGCTCAAAGAAAAATTAAAAGCAGATTAACTTATTGCAAAACCCAAAAACAATAGTATGAGCAGACCTTTTCATCATACCGAAACAGTGATAGATCAAAATATGGAGAAGGACTCTGAGACTGGCAGGGGAAAGGTAACATAGTCAAAATCTTCTTCACAAACTGCAAAATGAAAGAATTCTAATGGTTAAAAAGGCTTCACAGTGCATATCCAACATAAAGATATCTCTGATTAGTGTGCTTTATACACCCAGCAAGATAATATAATTTTCATAAAATCATTATAACTATAATCAACCTGGTAACAAACTGGATTATCACCGGAATCCATTAGTTTGTTGCCAGATTGCCAGCCTAGGTCCTGGAAGCACCTAAGGGAGCGAGCCGCGTACACGGACTACACCACTTAGGTCTTCGTCGTGTTGTTCTCCAATGCCACCTTCACATCTCCGACCTCCTATAGCCTCCCCCATTCACCACGAACACCACCTCTTCTGACCTTCAGCAAAACCTCCTCAACCACCACTAAAACAAGAAAAAAAAGATATCCACCTAGGCACTAGGCGGTGGTCCGGTGCCTTACAGCGTCTACGCTTCTGTAACTTTGCCTATAATGCATTAATAAAACTGAAGTGCCCGTAAAAATAAAACAAAAAGCTAACATAAGACACTGTAACCAGTAAATAGGTCATAAGAGATCTACACAGCTTAACCACCACTGGTCAAGAAAGATTTCATAAAGATCAAGGTTATCGATAGCGGATAGCGTCGTGCAGCGGTAAGGCATCATTAAAGACTATTTGGGACTATTGCGGAAAAATAGCGGTAAAAAGCGTCAAGCCAAATAGCGGTCTAATTTAGATATGTATAAATATTTAAAAAATTAAAGAAAAAACTAGAAAATCTGACAGTGTATATTTGATAATTTAAAGAGATCCTAAACATGAAATAGCCATGTAACTGTCACATAATACTGAAGACGACTGGAGGAGTCAAAGAGGAGTCGTCTTCAAGAAGATGAGCTGAGTGATGAGAGAAATGCACTAGGAGGAGCTCACGGCGAGAGGAGGTGAAAGGAAGTGCTGAGGTAGGTACCAGAGACTATGGGAGGCGGCGGGAGTACGCCGAAAATTGCGGGAGGCGGTGGGACGCAGTGATTGCGGGTCAGATTTAACTATAAAAAAAATCTCAAGCCAGTTTTAAATAGCGGTCAAAAAGCGGATTTTGCCCGCAATTGCCCGCTATTCACCATTATGTGGCGCTATTAGCTGCTTTAGCGAGCGAAAAGCGCATATTCCGCAATATGTCACCGCTATTGAGCGATAGCGTAGCAAGAAGGGACCGCAAACGTTATTAGCGCCGCTACTACGGCGCTATTTACCGCTATTTATAATAGTGATAAATATGTGCAGGTATACCACAAATAAATCATTATAATATGTTATACATTATAAAAAGAAGATGGTTTTGCCATTTTGGACTGTTTGTTGTCAAATGTGATAAATGGAAGCTTATTCACCTTCAAAGATATCTATTAGGCAAATGTAAAACAAGCATAAAGATGCTTGCAAGTGAAATAAAAACAAAAACAATAACAAGAATAACAAAACTACACTCTGCCAACAAGGACACAAGAGTTAGGTTCTGACGGGAACAGAGTCCAAGATAAAAATAGTCCAAATTTTTTTGACATGACTACATGCTGATGGTATGTATATGTATTGGGATTCAAATAAAAATGTCTATTTGGTTGTTATACGTTTTATACGTTTTTTAATAAAATCTAATTTTGTTAGAACAATCAACCAAAAAAAGGTGAAGGAAGCGGAATATATTTTATCTTATGCACACATCTTTGAGGTGAATGATGGATTATGAATGTCTGTGTTGGACATGGATGAACACTTAATTCGCTCGTTAAGTCCTGGTATATGAGAAGTAACTTCTGGCTACAGATCCAAACGACATAGCACAATGTGAGATCATATAGGAAATCCTTTCTCCATTCAGCTCTATTACCATTCATCAACTGCGTTAACAATTATTTCATCCTTACCTGCCCCATCCATGTTAACAATTATCTAAATTCGTTTATAACTCCCGCTCTAAAAAAGCCCTCCCTCCCTCCCTCGTTTTGTTTTTATTTATTTATAATAATTGAAATGCCAAAACAGAAATCAGATTACCAGGTCGCCCAAAGGTTGGGGAGTCAGGATTGATTAACTACCTTTACAATAACCATGTCAAGCATTACAAACTTTTTAGAAACTAATAATTATCTGCAGTTGCACCTACAGCTATTCTCAGGTCCGTCCTCTGTGCTCTGGATACATATTATATGGAAGCATAGACCTAACAAGGGGAAGTATAGCAGCCCTTATCTTTATGTTGGCTTTCTATTTGAAGAGAAGTTATCCTTATGTTGGCTTTCTATTTGAAGAGAAGTTTATTCTGAAGCACTCACCTGAGAAACGCATGTCCTCATAAGTATCACCTAACATTAACTGAAAGACTTTTTAAAAAAATAGAAGGTATTACTTAATCCTCTAATCAAAGGTTAAAAAAAGGCAATAAATAACCAAACAATTTCTATCAGACAATTTGCACAGTCCAAGATCTGATAGAAAGAAAACATCGAGTCGATTCAAAAACCAATAAGATAAGTACGATAATGAATGGAACTTCTGGGCAATCCTGGCAGTAGTGACTCTCTTATAATTGGCAAATATTAATGTTAATGGACTTATTTATTTGCCGATCTAAGTTTATATTGAATGGTCGATCAATAGGGTATGACTTGTAAACAATTATAGCAGTGATTGTCCATATAATTTCCAAGAGAATTCAACCCATAAAAAGCAGTTCAAAATATATAAAATGGTAAATAAGAACTTCCAATTACAAGGCAACATATGTATCTGTACAAAAAAAAAGCACCAGCATCTTCTAGAAGAAATTTATAGAACAATCATAAGTCTGCTTAAATCGTAAGCATTAAACTCATATAAGAGAGAGGCTTACCTGTGAGCTGTTTGCTTTATGTCTGAGATTGCAAATTTGGTCAAGAGCATGGACATTATTGGAATGAGATGATATGAAATTTGCATGCAGTGAATTTCTTGATGTTGCATGAAAATGGTCGTAGAAGTGCTCATACAACTTGTAAAGTTCTTCTGAAAAATTCTGCAGAAAATAATTTCTGGATTCACATAAATTAATATGCAAGATTAAATAAAACAATAATGCATCTGGATGAAATGATACCTGATAGAAAGCAACAAATTCTGTTGTTTCCATGTTGTACACAGCAAAAAATGCTGGATGCTGATCGGTACTTCGTGAAACCTAAATATACAGAAGCCAGATATTTTAAGATACATCCTTTGATCCATACTGCTAATACGTAACAGAAGTATACACTTGCCACTGGTTCAAAAGTTGAGAATACACACCCCTCCATCTACACTACCAAACTTGATTAGAAGATGATGACGATCCAAAAACTGTACCTGTCAAAAGTCATTTGCACATCATAATCCATACATCTTCATGTTCACAACAATCTAAACTATCATAAGGATTCAAATGATTGGATTTGATAGTTTAAACTTTGCAGCATGCCCAGGATAGCATTTTTTTATCTCAATATTGTATACAAAACATAAAAGGCTGGAGAGAAATTACAAGATGGAAACATACCTTCCACATGATAAGGTCAACAAAATCAGGGAAGTGAACGTAGAACTTCTTTTTGAGATGTTGAACCCTCTGTAACAAATTATGGTTGCACTATAAATATTCTGGAGAAAGATTTGGTAAGAAAGAAATTAAGTTGTAGGAAATCCCCAACAGAAAGATAACCATGACTGTTAAAAAATTAAAATAGAATATTCATTCACATAAATACCTGGATCATGTATGTATACAGTCACATATATAGTATGAAAAATGTGCAAAATAAACAAGAATTCAAGTATAAACACAACAAAGTTTGGCAAAGTTCATGAAAATAGAATCCATTTTTCTTCTCTGTTTCTGTGGTGTGACAGACCATTCATTATTACTAATTTTATGATCGATGTGGGTGTTCGAATATAAAACTATAACCCTCAACCATCACGACAACTTCAAAGTTTTGTAGTGGCAGGGTCCTTCGACATAGTATCAGAGAACCTCGGGTTTAAATCCCACCACCAATGTATTTAATGAGAATTTTTATTTTTAAAAAATGATATTGCTGCGTGAGTCCAGATGTTAGCCCAGAAAAAGGGCGCTCAACTGAAGGGGGCATGTTAGAATATAAAACTCTAACCGTCAATCCTCACCACAACTTTAGAGTTTTGGTGTAGTGGTAGGGTCCTTTGACAGTGAGGAAAGGCTTCCCATATTAACTTTATGTTTCACGAGCTGCTTCGCAAGTAAACTACAAGAAAAAAGTAGAAGGCAATAGCTTTGAATCTTTTGACTACATGTGAAAAGTATTAAAAAACAATGACCACATTTCTGTTGCATGCGTGTAATGTGTTTTCTCTACGTATCTGTTTTATGATTGCAGATGTTATGCCTGTATTCATGCATACACATCTATGATCTATTTAAGTGAAAGCCTTATATTCTCTGATGCAATCATGCAAGTGCAAAGTATTTAAAGTGAACAACAAAAGTCACGTCTGTTGCATATGTGTCAATGTGTTTTGTTTACATATATGTTCTATGATTGCAAATGTTATGTCTGCATACATGCATGCACATCTACGATCTATTTATGTGAGAGCCTAACATTCTCTGTTGCACGTGCGTGTCAGATAAATTTTTATATTTATCAAGATTGTGCAGATATATAGATATGATGGAGTAATGCAGCTGCTAACTTCATGCAAGATTTGAAAAGACAGTTCTTACATTGTAAAATAATGAGCACAGAAAGTGAATCAATAAAGAAATTTGATGGCCTACCAGAGTTTGATCTGCTTCTTCATTCCATGTCTTGCGAAAAATGAAGGAAAGCAGCCGTTGTTTGATACCGCTTAGAAAAGAACTTCCCTGAGTGACCTGTTTGGTGGTGAAATTCAATTATATTTGATATTTATATAACTCATATTGCTAGCTAAAATGGAGAAATGCAGAAAGATAATTGGTAAAACCTTACAAGAGGAAAAAGGAAATGCAGCTCTTTGGGATGCCACCAGAAAGCATAAGAACAAAACTAGAAAATTTTTAAGTAGTTATTAAGTTTGCCATCAGCATACTGCAACTTACTCCAGTGATCATATGTCCAGATACGTGCAAATGTTGATGGTCCTCAGACATTGGCAAGCCGGTTATATGTTTCCTTCTTAATGTTCGGATGCAATTTTTTTCCTTATTTTCCACAGAAATTTAACAAACTAATGAAAATAATCTTTTCTATTCAAAAATATTGACTTAAACAGCACGATATTGGAGAAACTATGTTTTACTCAAGTTTGATAATAACAATGGAAATGAATTTGTTAAAGAAGGTGCATTTTGGCTACACCAGAAAACAAATGATATAAACTCGTCAAGTTTGCAAGAAAATAACATTAAGTTGCTTTACGCTAACTACTTCAAACTTAACACCCTTTCAAAAGTTATAGAAAGACTGCACAAATTAAATACTCTCTCTTTTGAAATTTCAGATTCTCTACATTAACTTTTCACAAAAAAGAACTTATATACATAGTTTTAAAAAACAGGAAGAAAAACTAGCAAGAAAAAGTGCTGCAACTATGTAAAACCCCGTAATTTTGAAAATATTATAGTAAATAATATTAAATGAATATTATTATGGTTGATATTGTTCTGGGATGAATGAACATGATTGTAATCGATTTGAGATCGATTAAGTGTGTATATATATATATATATATATATATATATATATATATATATATATATATATATATATATATATATATATATATATATATATATATATATATATATATATATATATATATATATATATATATATATATATATATATATATATATATATATATATATATATATATATATGTGTGTGTGTGTGTGTGTGTGTGTGTGTGTGTAAGTGTGTATGAGCATGAAAAAACTGTCAGTTGGAATCATCACTGGTCGGTTGATCGACCCTAGCAATCGGTCGACCGATGGACACTGATCAGTCGACTGATTATTGGCATCGGTCGACCGATAGGTGCACAGTTTGAGTTTATATATATATATGTGTGTGTGTGTGTGTGTGTGTGTGTGTGTGTAAGTGTGTATGAGCATGAAAAAACTGTCAGTTGGAATCATCACTGGTCGGTTGATCGACCCTAGCAATCGGTCGACCGATGGACACTGATCAGTCGACTGATTATTGGCATCGGTCGACCGATAGGTGCACAGTTTGAGTTTTCGGGTCGGGTTAATTTGGGCCTTTTTGAACGCATGCATATATATATTATAAACCCGATTTTTCTCCTCTTTTCTTCTGTAATCCCCACGTTGATTAGCAACCACCATCCCCTCAAAACCCTAATTCATCAGTTTGACCTTTTGGAGAGCTTTGAGAAGCAAAAAGGCCTAAAGAAGGGGGAGATTGGTGGCTTTTGACGAATGAGGATCGTCCCTTACGTGTTTGGGAGTTCAGCACGAATTTTGAGGCGAGTTGCATCTCCTCCAATCACATCCCTGTTTTCTTGGTTTTGTTTGGATTTTAAAAACCTATTTTATGTGTAAAGATCACCCCTTTTCTCAAGTAACGTAAAGATTTGATCTTTCTAATTTAAAAAGTCATGAAACGGATTCTTTGATTTGGGTTTAAGTTTTGAAACAGATTTAACATGAGATTTTGTTAAAGTTATTTGTTTTCATGATGATTTTCAAACATAAACATATTAGGGTTTTATAGATTTCCCAAAATTTTTATAATTTGTGATTTCATGTAGTAGATTAAACCCTAATTATACTAAATCAAGATTTATACGTGGGTTCTTTCGAGAATTTTTGATTTTTGATCATAATAGAGAAGAAAAACCCGAATTGTGTTTTGTCACCAGCATCGGTCGACCGATCGAAGAAATCGGTCGGCAGGATTTGGGAATTTTCCCACTGATCGGTTGACCGACGTATGCATTCGGTCGACCGGCCAAAATTGGTTTGTGTGCGCATGTATGCACGTCACGCCAGTCGACCAATAGGACATGTCAGTTGACCGATTTGAGCTGTTCTGCACAAGTTGGTTTACCACGTGCTTTTGATCGCGAACACGAAGTGCGAGTCGCACGTCGACACGTGCGAGACCGTGAGAGGACACGTGCTGGATTTGGGCACGCACGAGCCTATTGATACACGTAGTCTAAAATTTTGAGTTTTTTGTTGATAGGGAATAACTTTTGTTTCGTTTTACGGTGATTATGGATGCTTGAGAGGGGTTAGTTGGTGCACCACAACGAGACCGTGGTTAACTACACTCAGAGTGTGTTAGTTGGTGTACTGCAATAAGACCGCAGTAAACTACACTATGTTATGCATCATTATATTCCAGGTTAGGCTGATATGTCTATACTCCGCAATGTGTTCGAGTAAGGTAGTGAACCGTAAAATATTGCGCTGAGCCACAGAATATTGTGAGCGCCTATACTCCACACCATTTTCTTTGTAGAGAATCATACAAAATTGCAAAATTTCTCCCGTGTTACCTACCTCGAGGGTAGAGTATAAGGCTATGGTTTGTTGTGCACTACGTATCCTAGACGATATCTTTTACCGAATATTTATTTTGTTCCCACGCCAACTACCCGAGGGAAATGTGATTTGTTATGATACGATTTGTTATGGATGAGGCTTGGTAATGTATTGTTCATTGTTAATTATTTTATTCATAGCATTTTGGAGTTAATATTTAGTGATCCACAATTTGAGATACATGGCATATATATGAGGGTTTTCTTGTTTGGATTATTTCGCTCGACGTACTCATTCTCGTATTGTGGGTTTCTAAATATTAATTCCTCTTAGTTCAGATTGTAGGATTTATATATCTATTTTTGTTGTAACTTGTATTTTTATACACCTAACCCGCTTTCCTTTGGGACGGTGGAGATGTTCTCGCTAGCGCTTTGACGCTCGTTTTAATTTTTTTCAGGCAGCAAGTCAGGCGTCTGGAGAATCGCAGGTTGATGGAGATTCAGTCTAGCTCACTGTCATCTATTAGTAGTTAATTAGTGCTCCACAGTAGCTTATTATTATTATTTTTAGTTTTTAAAGATGTATTTCATGTTGGAGGCCGAGTGTCTTAGTACTATTTTCAGTTGACTCTTGTGTTTAGAGGATTATTACTCTTATTTTAGATTTTTAGATGTACTTTTCTTCTGTTGGAACATGATTATATTTATTATTGGATCTCTTCTCTATATTATGTTCATTATATTTTTACCTTTATTCTATCTACTTGTATCCACATTTTTTTTGTAGACTTCCATTAGAGAGATTACTATGATGGTGAAATATGTTGTTGTACAGTGTTGGGTGCATGATAGGTTTGATATTTTTGGATTCACCTTGGACTGCAGCCTTGTGTGAAACCAGAGGTTTCACAAACTAGAACTTAATTGTCCAAATAACTTTTTAGTATAAGTAAAATACTAAAATATCCATGGGATTGATATACTTTTCACTAGCTTAAATGTTAGCACTTCAGTAACTTAAAAGCAACTATAGAGTTATAAGAAGAATTAGCTTAAGCACATAGACAAAACTGAAGCTTATCCAACTTGGTTGTCCAAATAACTCTTCAGTGTAAGTAAAATACTAAAATATCAATTGGATTGATATACTTTTCACTAGTTCAAATGTTAGCACTTCAGTAACTTAAAAGCAACTACAGAGTTATAAGAAGAATTAGTTTATGCACATAGATAAGCTGAAGCTTATCCAACTTGGTTTTGTATTCTATGTATTCTAATACGGCGGCAACAACAACAACAAAATCTTTATCCCAAAATTTTGGGGTCATCCGCATGAATCATATTCTTCTATTTATTTACATTAAGGGCATTAATCTTCGTGAAATTAACTACTATCAGGTCTTTCTTCATTGCTTCCAAGTTCCAGACAAGTTCCCTTAAGCTTATATGCAATTCTATTAACTAATAATTTACCACTTCCCATAACTGATGCATCTTAGCGGCCCCCGTAGCACCTGACTAACCCGTCCCAAGCCTCTCTCATTTTAGCCTTAATAGAAACAACCTCTAACTCTACTTCTTATCTCTCAGAGCATATACATAAACCCAACATAACATTTTAATTTCAGCTGAAGTCATTTTTCGCACTTGCTTCTTGATTGCCCAAAATGCTGATTCATAAGACATTATTGTTCTTAATATTGTCTATTAAATTATTCTTCAATTTAATATCCTTAATAGAAGCAATATCTAACTTCCTACTAGCACACCCATCTCTGACCTTATCCCTATTGAATTTTTCTTCAATTTCACATCCTTAATAGAAGCAATATCTAACTTCCTACCAGCACACCCAAGTCTTATCTTTATCTCCGAGCGTATATCCGTAAGTCCAACATAACATTTTAATTTCTGCAAAAGTCATTTTTTGCACATGTTTCTTGATTAGCCAACATTCTAATTCAAAAAACATGGTTGGTTTTATAGTTGCCTATTGAATTTTTCTTCAATTGTAGAAGTATCCCAAGATCACATAAGACTCAAGAAGCACTCCACCACTTTAACTATCTTGATTTGATTTGATGGACAACATCCTCCTCAATCCTAAATCATAGGAGATTACTCAAATGGTATTCTAGTAGCAATTAAAATATTGATCTTGCCAAGTAAGAGAAGTACTTGCCGGAGAATGGGAGTTAAGAAAGAGCTCATCATCTTCTCGACAGAATGTCCCTATCATTCGTACATCAACAAGGTTTCCAGAATCACGAATTTGCAGAATATGTATTGTCTGATATCGAAGGGACATTATACACAATAAATCCTCATGCAAGAAGACCCCCATGCTATGAACCAGGTTAACAAAATCATTGCAAAACACCTTTTCATCCAATATAATTCCATCTTCCAACCTGTCAGGATACAAATATATGTGTACAATATTCAGAAAAGAAGTCTAGTTTTGGAATTTAGAAAAGAATGTAACTACTAAATATACAATTTAACATTCTTATAAGCTATGGTCAGGTACCTTACAAGGTGAAATGTTATCTTCTCAAAAGAAGGAACTCCATTAATTGCACCTTCAGTGGCAGGTGCATCATGATTTTGTGCAGTTGATGTTGCAAATAAGCCAAACTGGTGACTCTCCACGTACAGAAAAAAATCTTTGCAAATAAACTCGTTGCCTGATGCAAGTGGTACACAATAGAGCTGACTGAAGAAGCTGTCAAACCTCTTTGCCTTTGGAGGCGGAGCATGCAAATCACAATTCTCGCCTTTGCATGAATAAGTCATCCATATGGGTCTGTAAACAATGAGATCATGATGATTTCTGCTGAAGCTTATCAGGTATTTTCCATCATCTGTAATCTTGCGGAAAAAATGATCTGGGCACTCTACGTCAAATATAGTATAACTTGGGACGAAATTCTCATAAAATTGCCTCATTAGATTTACCTGCACATTAAGCAAATCCTGCACATTATTTCTGAGCTAAAGTATCTTTTCAGATTCAGATATTAGATAACGACGATACCAAAAGAGCTCTAAAAGTATAAATTCGTCAGGAAGATGCATCGGACATATTCTTCATTTATTTTCTGAAAAGTAGAGTGCATCTTTTATGCTCAAATTTTTAAGGGCCGAATATCAGCATTGTAAAACATGTACTGCATTACATGCCGCATCACTGAACAATGTGAAATTATGTGAACGAATTTTACAACACACATCCATCTGACTTTGAAATGTCTGAAAAATCTCAAATAACATGAAACTAGAAAAACATAATACGTTAAAGTTTCCAGATAAAACACCTAACAGACTATGCTTAAGGAATACACAAAACGAACTAACCATAACATCTGAAGAACATCAAATTTTCAAAACAATAATAATAAAATCACATATTAATAGCATCTACTTACCCCATTTCCCCACAATACAATCGGTTAAATGGAAACAATAGTTTTCGGATCGCTCCCTTGTTCGAAGACTATACTCCAAAACCCTAAAGAACCTTATTTCTCCCCAATCATATAAAAATTATCAAATGGGTCAGCGCGAAACGAAATCAAAGTAGCGAAATAACACGTTTACATCTAGGGCACACAAATTTTATGCTGAAGGAGCCGTATTCTCACATATCACCAACTGAAACCCCGTTACCGTCAGAAAATCCAACAAAGGAGCCTCATTTACTTAAGGGCACAGAAAACTATCAATTGGGCACTAAAAAAAATAAAGAAATAGAGAGAGAGAGAGAGAGAGAGAGAGAGAGAGAGAGAGAGAGAGAGAGATTACGCTGGTTCCAGGACGAGGAGTGATTAATTGGCGCTCGAAAACCCTCGAAGCGACGTTGTTGCTTCTAAACATCACAACGAAGAGGGAAGAGAGTGGTTGCTGCTGCTGATGATGATGATGATGCCCACATGGAAACTAAAACCTTAGAAAGAAACCAAGGTCATCTATTCGTCTTCTTCGAATGAGATTTATTCCCAATTTTACTGGTTTGGGATTTTTTACTTTTTTTTTTTTTCTCACTGTAATGGTGATGAGAGTCTGGGCCTTCTGGTGGGGGTTTGATGAAGGATAAGCAAGAGGCGGAGGGGATGAGACCATTCGGGTCAAGCTTACGGTCGGTGTCATTTTTTAACCGCCTCTCTTATTCTATGCGCCAGCGTTTATGCCTTCTTTTCTATGCGGTAGTGGAGTCAAACTGACCAAGGAAATGAAAGTAAGAATGAAATTGGAATTAACATCAGAATGAAATCTTGATTCTCATTTTTATATTTATATGTGCGATTAGATAATTAAATGGAAAGATCTTTAAGAAGGATAAATTCAGAATTTATTTATTATTTTCATTCTCACTTAAATGGGAATAACAATTAAATGAGAATTGATGAGAAGTGAGAATGACATTTCTAGCATCAAAAAACACATCGAGTTTAGTAAGCATAAATGAGAAGTTTGAATTATATCTCATTCCCACTCATTCACGCATGCCAAACGAGACGTTGGAGTTATTTGTTGGATTTAATCTAATAAATCTATTTGTGGGCACATATGATTAATCAATGTGTATTGCTATCTTTCAGGATAACCCCACTAAAGTGATCAATTAAGTTGGGTTAATGGGTATTTAAATATAATCATGGGGTTATATGTGCAGATACCAGGTTGTAATTGTGATTTATTGAGGGGCTAAATTACAAAAGTACAACATCTATAAATAAGGGGTTATGGTCCCTAACCTAGGGTTACATTCTCTAATTCTCTACACCCCCATCTAGTTAGAGAAATTCGGATTTAGAGAAACCCTAAGGTTAGAAGATCCAAAACTCATCTCAAGGTTCATCCATGGATTCAGGTATAAGCTTCCGCTCTTTTGATTATTGTTAATCTCTTTGAATTAATCATGGCTATATGGTTTTAAATCTCAAGTTTTGATTTAGATCTAACAAGTGGTATCAGAGCCACCTTGATTAATTCTTAGGGATTTAAGTTTTATTGGGTTTTTTGATCTTAAAACTCTGGTTAAAGATTCAATTTTTTGTTCGGATGAACAGTAACAAAAATTTTCGGATGAACAGTAAAATTTTTTGTTCGGGTGAACAGTAACAAAAAGTTTTTTCGGGTGAACAGTAACTTTTTTGGATTTTTTTCTTCGATTTTTTCTTGGTCTGGATCTGATTTTGAAAAATAAAATCGAGGAATTTTTTTGGGTTTGTCGGCGGCGGTTTCGGTTTGAAACCCTAAGGGTTCGTGCGTGAAACGTGGCGAACATTAAGGAGATGGGTACCTCAAATTTTGGCGAAGCTGAATGCTTCAAACGAACCTCGCGTTCGTTCATTTTTAACCGAACTTCGCGTTCAAACGAACTTTGCGTTCGTTATCAAGTGAGCCTCGCGCTCAACGAACTTCGCGTTCGTTCTAAGGTGAGTCTCGCGCTCAATTCAGGTGAGCGTTAAGCTCAATTTAAACGAACTTCGCGTTCGTTCTCATGTGAGCCTCGCGCTCAACTCAGGTGAGCGTCAAGCTCAATTTTAACGAACCTCGCGTTCGTGCTTCAGACGAACCTCGCGTTCGTGCTTCAGACGAACCTCGCATTCGTGCTTCAGACGAACCTCGCGTTTGTGCTTCAGTCGAACCTCGCGTTCGTTCTTCAGTCGAACCTTGCGTTCGAACTTCAGTCGAATCTCGCGTTCGAGCTTCAGTCGAACCTCGCGTTCGAGCTTCAGTCGAACCTCGCGTTCGAGCTTCAGTCGAACCTCGCGTTCGTACTTCAGTCGAACCTCGCGTTCATTTTTTTAACGAACCTCGCGTTCGCTCTCAAGTTGAACCCCGCGTTCCTTTTTTTTTTAACGAACCTCGCGTTCGTTCTCAAACGAACCTCGCGTTCGTGCTTAAGTGAGTCTCGTACTCAATACAGTCGAACCTCGCGTTCGAAGTTAAGCGAACTTCGTGTTCACTATGGTTAAGCCTCAGCTTTTCATGGGTCCACTTTGGTATACTTAATTTATTCAATTAAGTTATGGGCCCTAATTAAGCTGTGAGACCCCAATTAAGTTTTTGGAAATTCAGTTTTGATTTAAATTAAAACTCTTTAATTTAAATCTATTTTGGCTTTTTAATCAATTATTTAATTCAAATATTATGACACTAAGGTATTAAGGTTGTCTCTCACTCCAATTGATTAATTGAAACAAGAAGTTGCCAAAGTAACCTCTCTTGTGTAGATTGTTCATGAGGAATGTGAGATGTTTATGTGTATGCTTTCGTGTAAATATTTAATCGGCCCAAAGGAAGGTTAATATTTATTTAGACTGTATACACATCTGCGATGATAAGCGTGTGACAATTATAAGGTTTACATGTGAATAATGAATCGATCCAAAGATAGTTTCATTATTTGACATGAGTTATTGTCAATGTTTGATCATTGCAACAAGGTATCACTTACAAGTTAATATTACTGTCCAAAGACTTGATATTAATGTTGTGCCGGTATCTTGGATGGGGATTGTCATTATTTGAATTTTATTGATTATGGTTATTGATGTGAGCATTTTTGTTTTATTTCAGCTATAATGCATCTGCTGCAACAATTTCTGCTAACATCAACTCAATTCCCATGCTAAATGGGACAAACTTCAAGGTTTGGAAAGAGAACATATTAATTGTTCTTGGCTGCATGGATCTTGACTATGCATTAAGAACTGAACAACCCCAACCTCTCAATGCGGATAGCACTCCTGATGCAAAGAAGGAGCATGAGAAGTGGGAGCGTTCAAATCGCATGAGTCTTATGATCATTAAGCGCGGCGTTCCGGAAGCCTTCAGGGGCATAGAATCCGAAGGGATTACTAAGGCTAAAGATTTCCTTGCCGAAATTGAGAAGCGTTTTGCGAAAAACGATAAGGTAGAAACAAGCACGCTTTTAGCTCGCTTGATTTCAATGAAGTATAAGGGCAAAGGAAATATCAGGGAGTACATTATGGAAATGTCTCATATTGCTTCAAAGCTTAAGGCACTTAAACTCGATCTTTGTGACGAGTTATTAGTGCATCTGGTTTTGTTGTCTCTTCCTGCACAGTTTAACCAATTTAAGGTCAGTTATAACTGTCAAAAGGAGAAATGGACTCTAAATGAGCTCATTTCATACTGTGTGCAAGAAGAAGACAGGTTGAAGCAAGATAAGACAGAAAGTGCTCATTTGGCCTATGCCTCTAAGGATAAGGGCAAGAAAAGGAAGAATGATAAGGAAGCTGCTAAGGGTCCAGTTGAGAAGAAACAACATAAGGATAATCAGGGTTGTTTCTTCTGTAAGAAGCCTGGACATGTAAAGAAGGACTGTACAAAATATCACGCCTGGCGTGATAATAAGGGTACGTTCCTTGCTTTGGTCTGTTCTGAGGTTAATTTAGCTTCAGTACCTAGAAACACTTGGTGGTTAGACTCTGGTGCTACTACTCACATAAGTGTTTCTATGCAGGGTTGCCTGAGCTACCGAAAGCCAAGTGATGTTGAAAGACACATCTTTGTGGGCGACGGACAATCGGTAGATGTGGAAGCAATTGGGCACTTTAGGTTGTTGTTAGGAACTGGTTATTATTTGGATTTAAAAGATACTTTTGTAGTACCGTCTTTTAGACGGAATTTGATTTCAGTTTCTGTATTGGACAAATCAGGTTATTCTTGTTCATTTGGAAACAGTCAATTCAGTTTATCTTTTAATTCAAATGTTGTGGGAACCGGTTATTTGAGTACTTATGACAACCTATATTTGCTTGATACAATTACTTCTTATAATGAAACTTTGCATGCGGAATCTCGTGGTACTAAGCGTAAATTAAATAAGGAAAATTCGGCAACATGAGTACTTATGACAACCTATATTTGCTTGATACAATTACTTCTTATAATGAAACTTTGCATGCGGAATCTCGTGGTACTAAGCGTAAATTAAATAAGGAAAATTCGGCAACATTATGGCATAAGCACTTGGGTCATATCTCAAAAGGTAGAGTTGAGCGTCTTGTGGCTGATGGTATTTTGGATTCCCTTGATTTTTCGGACTTCGACGTATGTGTTGAATGTATCAAGGGAAAACAGACCAAAGTGAAAAGATTAGATGCCAACAGATCTTCGGATGTCTTAGAATTGATACATACGGATATTTGTGGCCATTCCCTAAGGAATCTTAGAATGGTCAACAATATTTTATATCATTCATAGACGATTACTCACGTTATGGGCATCTATATATTATTCATGAAAAATCTGAGTCTCTGGACATGTTCAAAGCCTATAAAGCTGAAGTTGAGAATCAACTCAACAGAAGAATTAAAACCGTCAGATCTGATCGTGGTGGTGAGTACTACGGTAGATATGATGGTTCAGGTGAACAACGTCCAGGACCATTTGCTAGATACCTAGAGGAATGCGGTATCGTCCCACAGTACACCATGCCGGGTTCACCTAGCATGAATGGTGTAGCTGAAAGACGAAATAGGACTCTTAAGGATATGGTAAGAAGTATGATTGCTCATTCTTCTTTACCAGAGTCTCTCTGCGGAGAAGCACTTAAGACAGCAACTTACATTCTGAATAGAATACCGAGTAAAGCAGTTGCTAAAACACCTTATGAGCTTTGGACTGGTCGAAAGCCCAGTTTAAAGCATTTACATATTTAGGGATGTCCAGATGAGGCAAGGCCTTATAGGCAAAATGAAAAGAAATTGGACTCCAAAATAGTTAGCAGCTACTTTATTGGATACTCTGAACGCTCTAGGGGCTATAAGTTTTATGATCCCACTATAAGGAATATTTTTGAGACGGGAACAGCAACATTCTTTGAGGATGTTGAGTTTGGGGGGAGAAATAAGGTTAGAGACATTAGTTTTGAGGAGGAATTGGCTTCAGATCCAATCCATACAGTTACTTTTGACAATATTCAGGTTCCTATACCTGTTAATGATCAAGAAGTAAATCCGGAACCTCAAGATGATAATGTTGAACAACTCCCTGTTCCAGAAGAACAAACTCAACAACCTCAAGAACCAGTGCCATTAAGGAGATCCACGAGAGAAAGGAGAAATGCTATTCCAGA